AGCTGTGATAAGCCGGGCAGCCTCAGAGCCTGAAGCTCTCCTCGTTATGTGCCTCGTTACGTTTGAAGCCTGGCACTATTGCACCCTGGCAAAAGGGGGGGGGCATTACGGGGGCTGCAATATCATCTTTCTGCTGACCACCAACCCCACTAATCCTGAAGATGGAGGAAGAAATTAAAGCTTCTGCTTGAGTTAACCTTGCCCTGCAGCCACCGTGGGAGCAGCGCAGCGTGACCCAGCAAAGCTGCGAGATGCAGCGTGGTCACAGAGGGACAGACCCCAGGGACAACAGGTCCCAGCTCCTCAGAGGGTTCCACGAGGCAGGACGTGGGGTTGGCAGACACCAACATCCCCATAACTGCAGACAGACTCCTCTGATCCTCTGGCCGCTTCGGTAATTAATTGCAATTTGAACCGAGCTCTGCCCAACTCCTTTGCTAATCAGGAAGGTTTTTCCTCTTTTTGTAACCGCAGTCGTGTGAGCAAGTAACAAATCTTGCTAATTGGAAAGAAAATGGTTCATCCGCCTTACACTTAATCCAGCTGGAGCAGAGCCAGCCCCAGCCCAGCCAAAATGCCCAGATATCCCGGGGCAGCATCCCAGATCCCTCAGGCTGGACCCTGGCATGCCCGGAAACGTTATGGCCCTGGAGCTGCTGGAGTATTTAACATTGAAAGGACGCGGCATATGCAGGACAGTTTGCACGACTCCCCCTTTAAGCTTATTAGAAGCACATTAAGAGCAGAGCCCAGCTGGCCCTGCCGGCTGGTTACAGAGGGGGTTCTCTGGGTTAGCCCTCAGCGTGTGTTTGCCACAGAGCCACATCCTGCACCTCCACCCTCCCAGCCCCAGACATTTAACCTTCCGTCACCCATCAGCTGGCCCTATGGGAAGAGGAAAGCCCCCCTTCTGCTTCCTGCTGCAAATGCCAGGGCTTTCCCTAGCCCCAGATGCCAGAGCAGGGCTAAGAACCTGCCCACAGGCTGTTTGGGCAACAGGTCCCAACCAGGAGCAGCAGTTTGGCTCCAGAGAGACCCAGCTCCCCCGGGGCTGAAGGGCAAAGAGGTTTGCCCCACGCATTCAGGAAGGATGGAGGAGCTTCACAGCAGGCAGAGCAAGCACGAGATGGCCCAGCCTGGCTCTAGAAGAGCATCTGCAAGATCAGCACAGCCCAAGCACACACAGGGATGGAAGGTTCCTCCCAGGTGTGGGCATGGTGCCCTGCTGCCATGGGCAGCCACACCAGGGAGTCCCTTTAGTAACTGCATCCATGCTGTACCCCAAACAGTAGCTGTGATTCACAAGCTGGAAGGCCATTCAGAAACACACAGGCTATTCATGGTGCAAGCATCTCTAAACCACACGTTCCTGCAGCACCAAGCCCTCCTCTAACGTGGTTTATCCTGGGCTTTGTTGGCTGAACCAATGCTAAAAGGTGGCCAGACCACACCAGGTCCCTGAGCAGCACACACCTTACCTGTAGTCCCTCAACAGCCCGAGCTACCATCTTACTGTCCCATGAGCTTGTGCAGAGATGAATTATACCCCACCTGGAACCACAAGGGACGTCCAAGGCACTAGGACATTTCTGCTGCAACCTCACCACCAACTCCAGCTTCAACTTCAAACTGCCTGGAGCAACACAACTTTGGGCATCACAACGAGAATTGCTGAAATAAGGTGTCGTGTTTGCCCCAACACAGAGGTTGGGGCTGGGGTAACCATTAACTTCTCCCCCATAGCCTGGTTCTTCCTGCTCCCCCCAGCACCCTCCGCTCGGAGCAGAAGGCTGGAACGGATTCACGGTGGTATTTTTGGCATTCTGTTTTTAAGAGCTTGCTGTGACGCGTGGAAATGAGAAAAGGCCACAGAATGCCCCAAATAATCGTTACACGTTAAGGATTAGAAAAACAGCCTTGTGCTTTTGCTCGCTGCCTTAAACCTGCCAGGAGGAAAACTGAGCTTGAGAAGGGGTGCTGCAAAATATGGCTAGGCATGAAGACAAGATATACTCACCGTAGATGTAGTGTATACATGTATTTCTAAGCACATACCAAGGATTTTAGGTGCAGAGAGCATTTCCTGGCTCCCATGTACCCACCAGGACAGACAAGCACTTCCCATAGGAAGGCATCACCCAGGGCTCACCGTGGCACCTGGTTCTTGCTTGGCACGACCCATCCGCATCCCCTGTGCCACCCTGGTACCAGCAAGTCTCACAGCAGGAGGGGAACAAACCATTTTCATGCATTTTTACATCTTCCCTGTGCTTCAGAGCGCGCTGCCCCATGGGTGGAAGAGGCAGGTGACAGCCAGCTCCTGGCTCTGAAGCCAGGGGTGACTGGTCCAGCCTTCCCAGTGTTGTGGGCAGGTGCTTACCAAGAGAGATAGCCAGAGAGATGCCATGTGAGGTCTGCACCCCTCGGGATGGAGGGTGCAGGGCGGCCATGTGCCTGCAGCCCCTCCAGACAGCACCACCAAAGGCAGGGATGCCCAGGTGGCCACAAAGTGAGCACACAAAGTGCTGAACGTGACCATAGCTTGGGTTCTCCATCAAACCATGGTTCCCCCAAGCACACTAGCACCCTTCAGCACCTGCTGCACAGCTCTTCCTGCCACAGGCAGAGGATTTCTGGGCCTGGGCAGTGAATCACACCACTGCAGCCCATCAGAGCATCTCAGCTGGGAGAAGGGGACGCAAGGAACCCCCCCCTAGCATCAGCAGCCCCTCCTTCAGTGGAGCCTTCAGAGGAGTCTCCAGAAGGGGAACACGGAGCCCCGGCAGGGTTTTCCTCCCACCCTGCTCACCCCCAGGCAGGCCCCCGGGGTTGCCTGCACGCACCAAACACTCACAGCCGCAGCCTTTCTTCTCCAGGGCTTGACATGCTGCACAGCCCTGGCCTGCGACACCAAACCTGCTCTAACACCACATCACAGAGGGCTCTGAGGAAATCAGGAGCATGGCCGGACCCCCAGACCAGCCCCCTCCTCCCTATCAGCCCCCTCCTCCCCCTGCCCAACCTGCTGCCTTGCAGAGAGGTGAGCCAAAGGTCCCAAAAAGGGGGTGCGGGGACCTTTTGGGGGCAGCAGGGCAGGCCACCCCCAGGCATGGCTGTGGCCAGGGTGGCCCCGGGGCACGTGCCCTCTCCCAGCCTGGCATGCTGCAGTCCCGGGAGATCCAACACAGCCACCTGGTCCCAAGCACAACAAACCCTCCAGCTGGCACCCGAGGATGCTGGCAGGGGGGGGGGAGGGGGAAGGGGGGGGGGGGGGGAAGAGGGCTGCAGGGTGAGTCAATAGTGAAGCCCCCATGCACACTGCAGCCATGGATCCAGCCTGTCCCCCCCTCCTCAGCCCCACTGCTGGGGGCACGGCTTGGCCCAACCGAGGGGCACAGACACAGGAGGGGAGAGCACTGGGGAGCATCTCACCACCGACCTTCGACCCTGGGGAGGGTTGGGGGGGCTCCACACGCTGTGCATCCCTGGGGGATGGAGCCGGGGGGGGG